GGGGGATGGGTTGGCCTGGTGATGGGTATTAAGGAGGGCATGTTCTGCGTGGAGCACTGGGTGTTATGCACAAACAATGAATCATGAAACACTACATCAAAAACAAATGATGTAATGTATGGTGATTAACATAACAATAAAAAAATTTAAAGAAAGAAAAAAAAGAACAAAGTCATGGAACAAAATGCATTAGCTACAAAATGATTTTCATTCTCTGAGTCAGCACCTCATGGCTTTTGGTCAAAGGAATATTTTTGAAATTTATGTCTCCAATATATCCATAATTTTCATCCATTTCTTTTACCTGAGCTACTGCAGTATCTCCCTATTATGTACATCTGCCACCTCTATTCCATTGTCCATACACACACACACCCCTGCTTAAAAATCTCTATGGTTTCCTATCACACTTAGGAGAAATATCAGTCTTTAAAATATAAAATAATCTCCTAGATCCTTAGCAGTCTACTAGACTAATATGAATAAATTAAACTTTGCAAGACATGAGTAACATTAAAACCTGAAGATAATGTCAAAAAAAGTTTAGTATTAGTCATGAGATAATAGAAAAGTTTACTAAGGTTTTAGCTTACAGAAATTATGATGGAAAGACATATTCTTCCTACTACTATTCCTATAAATCCAAGGAATAATTAAAAAATTTTAATGTTTGAATAAGGGCTACCCAAGATAGGCCCCAAATATCCTGAACAATGCAGTGCTCACTTCGGCAGCACATATACTAAAATATCCTGAACAATGCAGAATTCTGCTGCCATCGATATGAAACACAAGTGGGAGATGATACGAGGCATATAATCGATAGAAAAGTCTACTTCTATCATAAAACATTTTTCATACATAGATTTCACTGGTAATGATTAATACATAAATAATTTCTGAGACCCAAACAGGGAAATATACCCACTTTCCCAAACAAATCCTGATCTTTCTACGGAGATGTTCCCATAAGGATAATAAACAAGTAATTCTGACAAAAGAACATTGCTCTGAAGATTACAGTTTTATTTTCTAACATGCGGACCTTTGCCGTCTCTGGGAGATTCACAGACTCATTTAGAACATTTCAATTTCCAGGTACTTAAAAATAAAACAGAATGGGAAAAAGAGCTGTTTGGGAAAGAAAAGCTTAAAAACTTTTGAGGATAGTTATAGGAGAATCAAATGGATCATATTTCTGAAAAGCAAAGCTTAAATAATTGGGCTTTGCTTATCACGGAATGAGCACACTAAGTTTAGTAGAGCATTATTGTCATATATTCACACAAATTAGGGTCTTACATGTTTGGAACTCCTGTTTTTACTCTCCTTATATCAAATATTGTATTCCTGTCGGGAAGAACCATCCACTTTTACAAACAAACAAAAGATTTTTCAAAGTCACAAGCTGACTGCTTTCAACTTTAATGTAAATGTCAGGCCATGTTACAGAAGGACTTGTATTTCTTAAAATAGTCATTTAAAATTTTAAAATACAAAATTAATCTGCAGCATTTAAAAAAGAAAAAGAGCCCAAATTCTCAGGGAGGAAGGGTGGGTGAGGGGGAGAAAAGTGAGATCCTGATTAGATGAAATCTCTTTGTACCTAATGATCAACCCAAATATTATTGGCACCTTCTTCCCTTTTCAAAATTGACTTCTGAAAGGAAAAAGGGCAAGGCCTAGAAGGGCTTATTGGGTATTGATTGCAATAAGCCAGTTCTAGAATCAGCCTCCTAGTGTTAGCGCTATTCATTACACTATGGATGGAACTCAATCAATGGCACCTTCAGAAATGAATGGCCCCTCATACTGATAATCTCCCATAGTAAGCCAACAAGGAAACATAAACAGAATGAAATGGATGTTTTCCAAACCCAAGAAGCTGGTCTGTGTTCAGCATGACCCAGGAAATGGTACATTTTCAGCCTTTTTACCTAATCCAACTTCAGTTTGTGGTATGGAATCAAACCGTGCAATGAAAATTCATGTCACATTCATGAAACATTAGAATCCTCCAGGGGAAATAAAGCCATATTGAATAGATGACTCCTTTATAATATGCCTAGCACTGTAGGGTCATACCTCTACATGGTTGCAGAAGCATGCTTCAGGGTGGATCTGATATGCAACCCTGGGGAAAGAAAAAAAAGTAGAAGAACAGTCATGAAACTCACCTCCCTGCCTCAAAAGTGAACCAAGCAGCATCTCGCCCGTACCGCCGCAGGGCACTTAGCGGCCAAGAGATGAGTTTGACTCTGGGATTCTGGACGTCCCAAAGACAGATGTGCTCATATGTAATCTGCAAGGCACATTCGCCATGTACATCTAAGTTAGGGGATGGCATCAAATACACATTGAATCTCTCTGGGAGAAAAACAAAAGGTTAGTCTAAAATCCCGGGAATAAAACATCAAAGACATTGTAGGAACAAAGAGGCATTTCAAAAATAATTCTAGCCCATATTCTAGGTTTAGGTTGAACATTCAGGAAGATAAACCTTTCTCATAAATTCATAGTCCCAGAAAATGATTTTTTAAATGAAGACCATGTTAAGTAACATAATAATGTCACAGTCTGGCTGTCAACATACACTAAACACTATTTACATGAGCAAAGACCATTTTTAGAACTTTTGAATTTGCATAATAAAAAAATTTGTATGCCAATAAAAGACTAAAGCAATGAAACCATTAAAAACATTTTTTTTCCTGCCAAGTACATATTAATTACACCCACATTTTTTGCGTTCACAAAAGATACAGGTGCAAAATAATTGTCACATGATTTAATGATATTAAAGTTATACTGATCAACTCATAATTTTCATAACTAAACGAATAAAACTACATCCCAAGTTATTTAAATAAAACTCTACGCTAATACCATGCACTTAACTGACCACCAGCTTGGGAAAAATCCAATGGATGTATTTGAATTAGTTTTAACAAGAACTCTCTTTAGCCAATTACAAATATCCATTTGCTTATTTGGATGACTGTTCATATTTAACCAAGATTACTCTCAATAAATGACTTGGCTTATTACTGCAACCAAATTTTCATCCCCACAGACTCCATCATGGTATTTGTTATATTTCTAGAAAATTCATTAATTTAGGAAATTATGAGCCAAAACCTCTAAGCGAAACATGAGCAAAAATATTACTACACCAAACACATTTTCACCTATCCATCATTATGGTAGATCGCCTATTATCTGACAAAACAGTGTCGCACTGATCTTATCAGTGGTATTCTAAATTAATTGTTTTATAATAAGGAAGTCATTAGAATTCTTGTCGATTTTAGCTGAGTTGAGTAAATGGGAGTGTCACGACTGCATGATTTCATGGTTCTATTTTTCAAATTTTCTAAAGTTATTTCAAACTCCCAATAACTAATTATTTGCTGCTTTCTAGCAACTATTATTTTAAAAGTATATTCTAATGGAGTAAAATCTCTCCCAGAGGAGTTCTAGAATAAGTCAGAAAGACTGTCATCATTAAGTAAAAAGCAAGAGAGACCATTACCAATTTATTCACTTAAAAGTTCTTCTATAACTCTACTTCACTCAAGGATAACAACAGTAACAGTGGTAAGAGTGACAGCTTAAGTTACAGTTACTTGAAGTCACACAAATTAATATTGTAAAGTGCCCTCAAAGACATAGATGAGCTTTGTAACAATCCTTCCTAGTTATGTACCAGGGATATTCTTAGTCCTGTTTGACAGAAGAGGAAACTGAGGCACAGTTGGCCCGGTAAAGGGAACACCTAGGCACAGCCCGTTCTTGGATTCATTTGCAGCACGATTGGGACATTGCTTCATAAATATAAATTTGTGAAAACTAGGTGCTGATATGAGCACTCTAGATTTAAAAAAAATCAAAATCTATCATATTTTCCTCTTTATGTCTGGCTTCATATGCCTCTGTCCATGAGGCACCACGGGTGCACTCTCTCAGCCCGGAGCATCCTGATTCAGTGAACCACACAAGTTAGAGCCCAGGGCTTGGTTGTATGACCTTGGAAAATGGCTTGGCTTCTCTACAGCTCAGCTTCCCAGTCTACAAAGAGACTTTTTTGAATTAGCCAAGCACTTGTAAGTCTCAGTCAATAACATTTCCATGGAGATGGATTATGGCAGATATGGTGCATCCAAAATAGTCCCAGCCTGTAAAGTGTCACGAAGACAGAGTTCCAAGTGAAAGCAAGGGGATTTTTTATTAACAATTGGAGTGTGCACCCATGGAAAGGGTCAGTACAATTCCACCTCTGCCACGTTCATAATCAAGCCAGGGGACCCGTGGCCTTTTCTGGTGTGTTCCATCCTCACAGATCAAGTCAATGGGCTACAAAAGAGCAGGACTCTGGGATCCAATCCGCCCTGTCACAAGGCTTGGTTATTTGGAAACAAAGAAATAATTCCTCACCTCCAGGCTCATACTGTAAACCAATATTGAGTTTTGCTGAAATGTTCATGGGTATTTTGGTCATTATTATTACCTAAAATGATTTAGTTCCAGGTTGAGTGTTGAGCTCAAGGTGTTGGCTCAAGTGTTTAGTTAAAAAAAAAAAAAAAAAAGCACAGAATTAAGTAGGTTTAAACCTGAGAAAACAGTCATGAAGTTTGGATTCTATTAAAAACACTGGAAAGCTTTCAATGAAATACTTCTAGTGAAAAACTTAAGACCCAAAACAAACAAACAAAACCCATTATGTGGTAAAATCAGTATATTATGAATATAGGTCCGGAGTGTATCCAACATAAGCTGTTGGAATTAGAGCAAGAGGTGTAGCTTCTCTGAGCTTCAGTCTCCTCATCTGTAAAAGGAGGGAAGGTACAGTGCCTGCTTCATGGAGCTGCCGGGAAAATTAAATGACCTAATGCATCTGCCACAGAAACTGGCATATCGCAGGTTTCTTCAGATTCCTAGCTGACGGTATTCATACAGATACATTCATATTTGTGCATTGAAAACACATTAAGAAAAGAAACACATTGAAATAGTAACACAGGATCTGGGTCAACTAAAAGGTTCTTTTTACTTCCTTATATATTTTTTATAACTTCAAAAATGTCACATAATGAAGATGTCTTATGGTGGGACAAAAACAGTGTTCAAGAGAGCAAAGGAGAGAATTTTCTTTACATACCACTCTGTTCTCTCTCAACCCCAGTAGCCAATAAGTCAGGCTCTCCGAGGCTGATGTCATTGATCCGCGTGCCCACACACTCCATCTGGAGTACTTTGCACCATTCATCGGCCTCAAGATCTGTGGAAATGTCCGAAAGATTAACATGCATGCCCAGCGCCTGCTTTAAAGCTAAAAGCAAAAGCCCTCCCTGCCTTGGACGAACCTGATTCACAAGCAAAGGTCTTGGAGGTATCATCATTGAAATAAATCCCTATGGCATGTTTCTTGGTGCTCTTTGGCAACCGAGCTACGTTCTTCACGTTGTTGAGCTCTGTAACCTGAAAAATGAACAATTGCAAATCTGATCACACTCCCTGAACGAACACGCCCAGTCAACACCACCGCACTAAGGGAAGGCACAGTAAGTGGAAGGCACACCACACATGAACACCACTCGACTGAAAAGTGCATTTTTGAAAGCTACAAATTATTTCCATGTTATCCTTAATATATAGCAAGGAATGTCAGTGAATTACCTTCCTTTTTATATTTTCTGAAGCATATTAGGTGGCATGAGCTCAAAACTTCACAGAGATAGAAAGCTTGTTTTGGTGTTTTTATCTCCCAGAAGATTCTCCCCAATGAATAGTTCTCAGAGCTATATCCCCATTTCCGTGGAAAGCCTTTCAAATACTCTAACCCCTCAGGGTACTCCCAGTGAAGGTAACTTACACCCATCCACCCCAAGAAAGGAAGGGAATGGTGGCCCAATTCATAACTGTGTCATCTCACTCTTCAATAATCAGGAATGGAGTGTCAGAAGTCCCAAAAATGCCCCTCTACTCGGGGTTCAAGTCCTATATTCCAAGACAGACAGTGGCTTTGACCCATGCTTCCCCACTCTCTCTGGCTTACTCCCAGCTTCTCAATGGTTTACAGGGCCTCTGTTTTAGAGTCTGCATGGTATCACCTTTTTCTTCCCAATAGGGAAAGCTTTCCCCATTAGACATGCTCTTTCCTTCCTCTAACCCACAGTCACTTGGTCCCTGTTATAAACTTTCATAATATCAACACTTTTATAAGCCACTCCCCTCCCGCTAAGGGTATTGGCTTATTGTGTTTCCAAAATGGCTGTCCCTCCTTCAGTTACATCCAGATCCCCTGCTGCATTCAAGGGTTGTGATGACTGGCTGCATGGGAGAAGGCACTGGTGGCCTCAGGGTATTTACAAGATAAATAACGGACATTAACAAATTCAACCTCCCCTTAGTATATCTCTTTTGTGTTATATAAAAGAATATATCTCCCATCAGTCTTTGCCTTTAGCACTATCTCTCATCTTATTCTAGATTTAAGGAATGCCTGCCTCAAGAAATAGGGGAGGAGAGAAGTCAATATCCTCCACACATACCCTAACCTGACTATTTCATTCCCCAACTTCTTAACCTCCATTGGCTCTCTTTATAGTATAAATGCAAATTTCTTGGCATAAAGTATCTTAACAGTTGCTACTGACCAAATGTTTGTGGCTCCCCAAATGTATATGTTGAAATCCTACCCCTCAAGGTGATAGTATTAAGAGATGGGACTTTTGGAGGGTGATAGGTCTGGAGGGTGGAGCCCTACTGAACAGGATTAGTGTCCTTATAAAAGAGACCCCAGAGAGCTACCTCATGCCTTCACCATGTGAGGACACAGCAAGAAGATGCCTCCTATGAACCAGAAAGAAAGTTCTCACCAGACACGAAATCTGCCGATGCCTTGACCTTGGACTTCCCAGACTCTAGAACTATGAGAATTACATTTCTGTGGTTTAAAAGCTACCCAGTATATGGTATTATTTTATGGCAATCCAAATGGACTAAGACATCAGTGTCCCCCCAAAGCTGGCTAAAGCACTACCTACCTTAGTAGGTAACTTTAGTAGCTCGACACCACCGACTTTATTCTCTAGCTACTCCAAATCCCTCAGAGTTTACCAGATGCAACTGTTGATTTTTTGAAGATTTTATTTATGTATTTATTTATTTTAGAGGGAAGGAGACTGCAAGCAGAAGAAGGGGCAGAGGGAGAGAAAGAATCTCAAGCAGACTCTGCACTAAGCACAGAGCCTGACATGGGGCTCAATCTCAAGACACTGAGATTATGACCTGCGCTGAAATCAAGAGTCAGACGCTTAACTGACTGAGCCATCCAGGCACCCCACAACGGTTTATTTTTTGTCTATGTATTTTTGTGCCAATACCCCAATCCAACTACTTATTGGTCTCTCCACTTCCATGTAACCTCATTAATTCACTGTAAACACAGCATCCAAAAGATATTTTCAAACATAAGTCTGATACCAGCATTTCTGTGCATAAAACAGAACACTGCAGTGACTTCTCATTGCACTTGGGACAAGCAGCGAAGCCCTTAGGGTGACCATCAAGGCCCTCTATGGTCTTCCCTAAGCTATCTTACCAGCCTCCTCTCTTATACCTTGCACATGAGTCATAAGTTCCAGCCACACTGGCTTTTGTTCAGGCCCCGGAAGGCACAGAGCCTTCCCTACACTCTCCTTACTTCGCTTACACCCACCTTATGGGTCTTAGTTCAAATCTCAGGTACCTGCAGAGCCCTACTGGACACCCCCCCATCCCTTCATCTAATCAGAGTCTCCAGGCTCTATCTTCTAATGACATCTTTGCCCTCACGCCCTTTGATGGCCATATAGGCTATGGTTCAGTGCCTGTCTTGCCTCCAGAATGAAAATTCCCTAGGTTTTTGCTCACCACTGTGTCCCTGAATCTAATACAGAGCCTGCCACATAGTGGGAACTCAATGAATATATGTGGATTGATGAACAAAAGACCAAACACACCCACAAATTTACTTGCACGGGGCCCCTCCAAGGTGAATGCCTCTTTCTCCAGGGAAATTTTACTTTTCCTGCAAGGCCCACTTCCTTGGGGATACTTGCCCTGACCTCCATGTGAAGTACTCATTGCCTTCTCTCTGTTCCCATGTATGCTGTAGGAAGCTTTGTTCTATTATCTGTGATTGTAATTAATCCATTGATCTCTCCAGCACCCAGCTAGACGTGAGTCACCTATCAATGACTTATGGACCAAATCAATGACAATCATCTGAGAGCCAACATTTATTGAGCCTGCTCCATATACCACATACTGTGCTTAGACTAGTCTTACATAATGTGTCTCATTTGATCTTCATAAACACCCTGCAACACAGATATTATTATTAGTTATTTTCCAGCTGAAGGAGCTGTAGATGAGAAAGGTCAAAGTCATGGGCTCGAGGTCACAGCAAAAAAATGGCAGAACCAAGTTTTGAGTGAGGCAAACTGACCCCAATGCCTGTGCTCTTTACCCATCTGAAATACTAAGATTGACTCTAAGTCCTTTCAGCCCATAGAATATTCAGCCTGGAAAGTCATCTCCTATTCGAGGACTTCTTTGTTTTCGCTGGTGTAGAGGAGGGGTGGGGGGCGGGTGGAGGGGGGCAGGTGAAGTAGGGCGTGAGTGCCCCAGGCTTTATTCTGACCCTCTACTGAGACATTATATAAAAGTAGTCCACCCTAACCTGAAGCACAGCAATGACTTTGAAATATGTCATTTCATTACACATCCATTAAAGGTAAAGAGGAAGGAATGTCACCTGAAAGGGTCAGAAAATGTAGGGTGAATTGCATGAGTCAGAACACAATTACCCATTTGGGAAATTGGTTTAGAGAATAAGCAACCCAACACCCCCGGCTCGGAGGAGGTGAGTGTTCACAGAGCAGGCAGGATTATGTTTGATGTGTCAAAGGACTAGCAGGTTCAAATGCAGTTTCTGCACCCAGTTCAGAACCACATCTCAATGAGCTCATGCTTGCCCACATCCCCACCCCCCAGCACCCACATACACACTCCTTACTTTCAAAAGAATTGCAATCTATGCTAATCCATAATAGAGCCTTCCTCAAAATACATGCTAGAGTGAAAATTATAAGAACATTTGCAGGTATATTTATAAGTCACTTTAAAACCTGTATAAGGCATATTTATTTCCACCATTGCTCCATTTTATAAATGAGAAAACCAAAAGCAGAATATATTTTTTTAATATTCCTTTTTTTTAAAAGATTTTATTTACTTGTCAGAGAGAGAGAGAAGAGAGCACAAGGAGGAACAGCAGACAGAGGGAGAAGCAGACTCCCCGCTGAGCAGGGAGCCCAATGCAGGACTTGATTCCAGGACCCTGGGATCATGACCTGAGCTGAAGGCAGACGCCTAACTGACTGAGCCACCCAGGCATCCTTTTAATACTCCTTTTCACAAAGACATAATTTGCCCCTAAAGAGTCACTTTTGAAGAATAGATTTTGATAAGGTCTCAGGTTCTTGTGTAGTATGTTATTTTAAGTGGGGATAATAAGTGTATCTGATCATCAAAGGTGACTGCATCAGGGGCACCTGAGTGGCTCAGTTGGTTAAGCATCTGCCTTTGGCTCAGGTCATGATCCCAGGGTCCTGGGATCGAGCCCCGCATTGGGCTCCCTGCTCAGCAGAAAGCCTGCTTCTCCCTCTCCCACTCCCCCTGCTTGTGTTCCCTTTCTGTGTCTCTCTCTGTCAAATTAATTAATTTATTAATTAATTAAATTTTTAAAAAAGTGACTGCATTGGATCCTCAATATGACCTCAAAGAAGATGAGCTTTCAGGAACATGGGCAGGCAATAACCTTCAGGTCACCTTCAGTTTGAATTTCTTGTCTTTTCCTTAGGTCTCAGATCAGAAGTTATTTCCCACCAAGTTCAAAACTTTTTAAGAAAACTCCCTCCTGAGCCTCTGTAGTCAGAGATTTTATTTGTCTTTCACAGTGTAAGAGAAAAGATACACCCTAAACTCTACATGAATTATACCATCTTTGTGTAGAGATTCACAAATAAAATGTAAAAATTTTTTCAAGGTGTAACAGCATCAAGGAGGTGACTTAAACACAATTATAGGAAAGCCACATTCCCTCTTCAGGAATCTTCCTGGAATCCACTTATTCATCAAATTTTTTAAACTCATTGTTTATTCATATTTATTTATTTTTGGTTTATTCTTATTTAAAGGGAGGAAAAAAGCAAAGAACCACTTTACCAGGCAGGGATAAGGAAGTGCTATGAGGACAAACGAAGGTGTGAAAAAGGATGTCAGGGGGGCCAGGAGATTCTGCTATTTTACAGAAGGGGGTAAGGATGCCCTTTCAGAGAAGGGAGCACTTGAGCAGAGACACAAAAGATCTGAAAAAGTGAATCATATGAATAGCTGGGCCCAGCCACTCCAGGCACAGGTAACAGAAAGTA